TTCTTTTCTTGTTGGGTCTCTGCCGGGTTTTGGTATCAGGATGATGTTGGTCTCATAAAATGATTTGGGAAGGATTCCCTCTTTTTGGATTATTTGGAATAGTTTTAGAAGGAATGGTACCAGCTCCTCTTTGTGTGTCTGGTAGAATTCGGCTGTGAACCCATCTGGACCCGGGCTTTTTTTGTGTGGTAGACTCTTAATTGCTGCCTCGACTTCTGACCTTGTTATTGGTCTATTCATAGTTTCAGCTTCCTCCTGGTTTAGGCTTGGGAGGACACAGAAGTCCAGGAATTTATCCATTTCTTCCAGGTTTACTAGTTTAAGTGGATAGAGTTGTTTGTAATATTCTCTGATGATGGTTTGAATTTCTGTGGAATCTGTGGTGATTTCCCCTTTATCATTTTTTATTGCATTTATTTGGTTGTTCTCTCTTTTCTTTTTTATCAATCTGGCTAGTGGTCTGTCTATTTTGTTGATCTTTTCAAAACACCAGCTCTTGGATTTATTGATTTTATTAAGGGTTTTTCGTGTCTCAATCTCCTTCAGTTCAGCTCTGATCTTAGTTATTTCTTGTCTTCTGCTGGGTTTTGAGTTTTTTTTTGATCTTGCTCCTCTAGCTCTTTCAATTTTGACGATAGGGTGTCAATTTTGGATTTCTCCATTCTCCTCATATGGGCACTTATTGCCATATACTTTCCTCTAGAGACTGCTTTAAATGTGTCCCAAAGATTCTGGCATGTTGTGTCTTCGTTTTCATTGGTTTTGAAGAACTTCTTTATTTCTGCCTTCATTTCATTGTTTACCCAGTCAACATTCAAGAGCCAGTTGTTCAGTTTCCATGAAGCTGTGCGGTTCTGGGTTGGTTTCTGAATTCTGAGTTCTATCTTGATTGCACTATGGTCTGAGAGGCTGTTTGTTATGATTTCAGTTATTTTGCATTTGTTGAGCAGTGCTTTACTTCCAATTATGTGGTCAATTTTAGAGTAGGTGTGATGTGGTGCTGAGAAGAATGTATATTCTGTGGATTTGGGGTGGAGAGTTCTGTAAATGTCTATCAGGTTTGCTTGCTCCAGGTCTGAGTTCAAGCCCTGGATATCCTTGTTGATTTTCTGTCTGGTTGATCTGCCTAGTATTGACAGTGGAGTGTTGGTCTCCCACTATTATTGTGTGGGAGTCTAAGTCTCTTTGTAAGTCATTAAGAACTTGCCTTATGTATCTGGGTGCTCCTGTATTGGGTCCATATATGTTTAGAATCGTTAGCTCTTCTTGTTGTATCGATCCTTTTACCATTATGTAATGGCCTTCTTTATCTCTTTTTATCTTTGTTGCTTTAAAGTCTATTTTATCAGAGATGAGAATTGCAACTCCTGCTTTCTTTTGCTCTTCATTTGCTTGGTAAATCTTCCTCCATCCCTTTATTTTGAGCCTTTGTGTATCCTTGCATGTGAGATGGGTTTCCTGGATACAGCACACTAATGGGTTTTGGATTTTTATCCAATTTGCCAGTCTGTGTCTTTTGATTGGTGCATTTAGTCCATTTACATTTAGGGTTAATATTGTTATGTGTGAATTTGATACTGCCATTTTGATGCTAAGTGGCCGTTTTGCCCGTTAGTTGTTGTAGATTCTTCATTATGTTGAAGCTCTTTAGCATTTAGTGTGATTTTGGAATGGCTGGTACTGGTTGTTCCTTTCTATGTGTAGTGTCTCTTTCAGGAGCTCTTGTAAAGCAGGCCTGGTGGTGACAAAATCTCTGAGTACTTGCTTGTTCGCAAAGGATTTTATTTTTCCTTCACTTCTGAAGCTCAGTTTGGCTGGATATGAAATTCTGGGTTGAAAGTTCTTTTTTTTAAGAATGTTGAATATTGGCCCCACTCTCTTCTGGCTTGTAGTGTTTCTGCTGAGAGATCTGCTGTGAGTCTGATGGGCTTCCCTTTGTGGGTGACCCGACCTTTCTCTCTGGCTGCCCTTAGTATCTTCTCCTTCATTTCAACCTTGTTGAATCTGACGATTATGTGCCTTGGGGCTGCTCTTCTTGCGGAATATCTTTGTGGTGTTCTCTGTATTTCCTGCAACTGAGTGTTGGCCTGTCTTGCTAGGTGGGGGAAATTTTCCTGGATGATGTCCTGAAGAGTATTTTCCAGCTTGGATTCATTCTGTTCGTCCCCTTCTGGTACACCTATCAAACGTAGGTTAGGTCTTTTCACATAGTCCCACATTTCTTGGAGACTTTGTTCATTCCTTTTTGCGCTTTTTTCTCTGATCTTGGTTTCTCGTTTTATTTTGTTGAGTTGATCTTCGACTTCAGATATTCTTTCTTCTGCTTGGTCAATTCGGCTATTGAAACTTGTGCATGCTTCGCGAAGTTCTCGTATTGTGTTTTTCAGCTCCTTTAATTCATTCATATTCCTCTCTAAGTTATCCATTCTTGTTATCATTTCCTCAAATCTTTTTTCATATCTTTTTTCAAGGTTCTTAGTTTCTTTGCATTGATTTAATACATGTTCTTTTAGCTCACAAAAGGTTTTCATTATCCACCTTCTGAAGTCTAATTCCGTCATTTCATCACAGTCATTCTCCGTCCAGCTTTGTTCCCTTGCTGGTGAGGAGTTTTGGTCCTTTCTAGGAGGCGAGGTGTTCTGGTTTCGGGTGTTTTCCTCCTTTTTGCGCTGGTTTCTTCCCATCCCTGTGGATTTTATCCACTTGTCGTCTGCATAGTTGCTGACTTTTCGATTGGGTCTCTTAGTGGACACCCGGATTGTTGATGATGAAGTATTTCTGTTACTTGGTTTTCCTTCTACCAGTCTAGCCCCTTCGCTGTACGACTGCTGAGGTCCACTACAGGCCCTGCTTGTCTGGGGTGCACCTATAGCAGCTGTGGAACAGTGAGGGATGCTACCAGTTTCTTTTTCTAGTATCTTTGTCCCAGGATGATGCCTGCCAAATGTCAGTCTTTTGGATATAGAGGGGTCAGGGAGCTGCTTGAGGAGACTGTCTGTACTTTATATGAGCTCAATTGCTGAGCTGTGAGCTCTGCTGTTCCCTCAGGGCTGTTAGGCTGCTATGTTTGATTCTACTGCAACAGAGGTCATTAAAAAACCCTTTTTTTCTCAAATGCTCTGTCTCGGCAGGTTGGGGTTTTGTTTTTGGATGTCCGTTGAGGTGTCCTGCCCAGCTAGGAGGCAGTCTAGTCACTTTTTGACTGCCGAGGCTCTGCTCTGCTGTTGTGAGGTTCGCCCTGTTGCTGCAGGCTTTTACTCTTCTGCTGCGGTCTCTGCCACGGGCTACGCCCTGCGGCGGAGTCTCTCTGTTGTAGTGGGTTGCCTCAGCAATGGCAGGCTGCGTCAGCAGTGGGCGTGTATCTCAGTAGGGGCGGGTTGCCTCGGCAACTGCAGGCTGCGTCAGCAGTGGGCGTGTATCTCAGTCAGGGTGGGTTGCCTCAGTAATGGTGGACGCCCCTCCCCCACGGAGCGTCTCAGGGACCGTATCCATGGCGAGCATTTGGAATCGCCGTTTTGTCTGTCCCACTGCGCTACCCCTAACGCTGTGTCCCTGCAATCCCCTGGGCTGGCCCACTGTCCAAGTCCCCTTTAGTCTCAAGTTCAGCCCTCTCAAGTCTGAGGTTGCCGGTTCAACAGGGCACCCGGACAAGCGCGCCCTGTGGGGAGCGCTGGGTAGGGCCGGCCGCCGTCACCCCGGCTGCCAGCTTCTCCAAGCAAAGCCTCTGCCTGGTGTCCCACATCTCCTTTATACTTGGGAATTTCCCCGTTCTGTGGACAACAAAGATCGGTCTGAAAATGCAGCTCTGACTCACCTCTCCGCGGATTAACCAGGAGCTTCAATCCTGGGTTGTTCTCACAGTGCCATCTTGAGTCCCCCTCACAAATCACTATCTATGTTAGCAAAGCCCTGACCAAGCAGGATTCCGAGAATCCAAGGGTTTTGCATCAGATTCCCTGTGTCCTATGCTCCTAAAGAGGCGACCAGCCCCACTGAGGGAGGTGCTGTCCCTACAGTGCACTGCTAACAGCAGAGTAGCATAGAAAGTAATCCATCAGAAACTATGCAATTTATTTATTTATTTGAGACGGAGTCTTGCTCTGTCTCCAAGGCAAGAGTGCAGTGGCACAATCTTGGATCACTGAAACCTCCGCCTCTTGGGTTCAAGAGATTCTCCTGCTTCAGTCTCTCATGTAGCTGGGATTATAGGCATCTGCCATCGCACCCAGTTAATTTTTTTATTTTTTAGTAGAGACAGGGTTTCACCATGTTGGCCAGGCTGGTCTCAAACTCCTGACCTCAAGTGATATACCCACCTTGGCCTCCCAAAGTGCTGTGATTACAGGTGTGAGCCACCATGCCTGGCCCCGAAGTTATGTTTTTGACCTGATAAGCACTACAAACCAAAGTTAAAAGGTATAGGAGGAGAGGAGACATTGAGGATTACTTGAATGTAGCCAAACACATATAAATATTTCAGCAGACTTCACAGAATTTCATATCTCTCTTTCTGTATAAATAATATGCTTACATCTCTTCCTCTCAATTCTCTTTCCTTTTTTTTTTTGGTTGAGACAAGAGTCTTGCTATGTCGCCCAGAACTGGAGTGCAATGGCACAATCTCAGCTTACTGCAACCTCCACCTCCCAGGTTCAAGCAATTCTGCCTCAGCCTCTCGAGTAGCTGGGATTTCAGGTGCCCACCCCCACACTTGGCTAATTTTTGTATTTTTAGTAGAGATGAGGTTTCACCATGTTAGCCAGGCTGGTTTCGAACTCCTGACCTCATAATCCATCCGCCTCAGCCTCCCCAAGCGCTGGGATTGTAGGCATGAGCCACAGCGCTCAGCCTCTCTTTGCTTTCTAATAGGGCTTTTCCTATTTTGGTTTAGCTTCTCAGCAGGAATGACTCACATTCCCAGTGCTTGGAAGAAATGCATCATACCACTCCCTTAAGTGTTGTTGTGTTTTCTCTTTCCCAGCAAGTTCCCAAACACAAACCTGAAGTCGGCCTCAGAAGGTGAGAAGGGTCTCTCTGTTGCCAAATCATTTAATGAGTATGTCTCCAGCTTCATTTCTGTCCAGCATCCCACTGCAATTGTGAAGGTGGAGGCTGGCACTGGCATAGTTACATAGTAATACCAGCTCGAGCACCCTATAAACAGTAAGAAAAAAACCATAATGAGGCCAATATACGGTTCTGGACCCTGCTGTGTATGTCTTCTCTTGAGGCATGTGAAGAACTTTTGTGATAAGCTGGTAAGAGCCAACTCTTGGAGGTCAGTCACATCAGCAGAAGAAGGGACATTATTCCAGGTCTCAGGGAAGACCAGGTCTCAGGAGGGATGATGGCTTCAAGGCAGCCAGGAAGGTCTGGGTCTCTTCCACGAATCGGTTTGAAGCCCTTCATGTGAGGGTGGTAGTGCAGGGGTTCCCTCACAGCTGTACATGCAGAAGGCCATAGTCTGTATGCTCCTACAGAGACAGAATATGTCTCATTCACCCTTATTGCTGAACACAGTTTTTAGCATTAAAAAAAATGCTCAATTGATACCTGTTGAATGAGTGAAGAAGTGAGCAAAGCAATGATTGCTTTGTGCTGTAACCAAACTATCCTGTCCAAATTTAACTCAAGTCAATATAAAATGGATATAGCAGAAAACACATGAGACTAGGGAAGGGAAACACTTGGGTTTTCATCTCAACTCTGAAATTAATTAGCTGTGGAAGTTCAGGTCTTACTTTTAGTCCCTTTTACCTGTTTAGCTGATCTTCCACTCCTTGCTGAGCAGATTAAAAGCAGGTGTAGAGGTTCAACAGAGCCAAGGACTCCTAGTTTGTAACAGGGCTGGGATTAGAGCTGGGGAGGGTATACTCTCCACTTAGTCCAAATATTAGAGGCTTTTTAAGCAAAGTTATGAATGGCTGATAACTTGTAACACTATACTTCCCCCATTTATAAGATGCAAAAATAATTTTAATGTTTCTGAAATCTGAATGCGTCATATACCTGATTTAACCTAGTATTTTTTCCAAGCATCTGCTATAATTGTGTGTCTTAAGGGGAATTGATTTTTTTTTTAACTTTTATTTTAGGATCAGGGTACAGGTGTAAGTTTGTTATACAGCTAAATTGCATCATGGGGCAGGTTGGGGGGAGGTTTAGTGTATAGATTATTTCATCACCCAGGTAATAAGCATAGTACCTGATAGGCAGTTTTTCTTTTTTAAGACAGTCTTGCTCTATTGTCCAGGTTGGAGTACAGTGAGTGATCACAGTTCACTGTGGCCTCAACCTCTTGGATACCCAATATCCAATGTCTCAAGTGATCCTCCAACCTCACCCTCCCACGTAGCTGGGACTACAGGTATGCACCACCACATCCGGCTTAATTTTTTTTTTTTTTTTCTTTTAGAACTAGAGCCTCACTACGTTGCTCAGGCCTGTCTTGAACTCCTGGGCTTAAGCAATCCTCTCACCTTTGCCTCCTGAAGTACTGGGATTACAGGTGTGAGCTACCATACCCAGCCTGATAGGGAGTTTTTCTATCCTCACCCTCCTCCTACCCTCCACCCTCAAGTGGGCTCTGCTGTCTGTTGTTCCCTTCTTTGTATCCATGTATACTCAGTGTTTGCCTCCCACTTATAAATGAGAATATGCAGTATTTGGTTTTCTGATGCTGCCTTAGTTCACTTAGGATAATATCCTCCAGCCCCATCCATCTTGCTGTGAAGGGTATAATCTAAATCTTTTTTTATGACTGCATAGTATTCCATGATATGTACCACATTTCTTAATTCATTTCATTGATGGGCATTTAAGTTGATTCAATGTCTTTGCTACTGAGTATCACCTTATATTATAGAACACATTTCTTCACTCCTCATGTTCCCATAGAGGACTTTATATTGACTTGAACTTCTATTACGGTAATATCTTTTAGTCCCTTCACAAACTCCTTTATAGGAGTTATTATTCTTTTTCTTGCTTTAAGTTTTAGGGGTTTAATCACATTTGACATCCAATCACTGACCAAATTGGCCTGTGGTTGTCCAATTTGGTCTGTGATTGGATATCGAATTCAGAGTTGAAATATTAACATGCCCCTTCTGGCCTAACATGACATTCTTCAAAGTGCTTTACCAGTAATAGAGGTTAGATTTTGATCTCCATGTGCATGGTTCCCTTGTCTATCTTAAAACAAATTCCAAACTTAGGAAGGTAGGACTTAGTAAAAAATAAATAATATTTTTGGTGAGATTCAGGTTTGGAAGTCATGAGAGGAGTTACTTGAAGGAGAGATATAAAAGGACATGCTCAGAACTGCTGGAAATCCACCAGAGTCAGCCATTCTCTCCAACTTGCCTGGAAGCTGCAACCTGCTTCTGGAACCAGAATGGCAACTCTTGAAATCCCTCTCTTTGTAGCTGACTAAAAAGTTGAAGGTAGGCCAGGTGCAGTGGCTCATGCCTGTAATCCCAGCACTTTGGGAGGCCAGGGTGAGGGGATCACTTAAGGTAAGGAGTTCGAGACCAGCCTGCGCGACATGGTGAAATCCCGTCTCTACTAAAAACACAAAAATTAGCCAGATGTGACAGCACATGCCTGTAACCTCAACTACTCAGGAGGCTGAAGCAGGAGAATCCCTTGAACCTGGGAGGCAGAGGGTGCAGTGAGCCAAGATCACAACACTGCACACCAGCCTGAGTGAGACTTGGTCTCCAAAAAAAAGAAGAAGAAGAAGAGAAGTTGAAGGCATACTCCTCCTTAAAAAGACAATCAAATCCAGTGATAGCTTCTACTGGGCATGAAGCAAAATCACAGCCTTAAAGAGAATCGCCACTCTGATTCCAAGCCAGTAAGAAGGACGTAGGGACAGTCATAGCTGTCTTGATGAAAGCATGGCATGGAAATGATATGACTAGCTATACAGACTCCACCTCTCTCATTTTTCTGTCTTCCTGTAACCACCTACATTCCCTCTAACCCGATGCCTCCCATGACTGCTCCATGAAAACTTTCATTTTTTTACTGGAAACACAGTGAGAGATGGAGCAGGCAGAAAGGAATATGCAGATGGAAGAAGAAAGAAGTTTTGGGCAAGGAACTAAATCTTTTGAAAGGCCCTCGTTAAAAAAAAAATCCTAAACAAATACATTTTCTTAATCAAAGGGCTGTAGACTGTCATACTTTGTCTGAAGTACATTTTAGAGTTTAATTAAGAACAATTATAAGTTTCTTTTTAAAAATTCAGACTCTTGGTTGTTCAGTAAATATGCAGAAATGGTGAAGCTTTCAGGTAAAAAGGAAAGTTTAAATGTATGAGGCAGAGGCTACCTTTGCTTCCACCCAAACTCCATTCAGGAACAGTAAAAGAATTTCTTTTCTAAAGACATGAACCAACAAGGACAGAGAGAATAAAGCAGGAGACCACTGCAGCAGAATATTGGAAGCTAGAATGCAGATGGAAGTGTGGCAAATGACACAGCAGACCTGAATCCAGATCTGAATCCTAAGTTGGCAGTGGGGAAAGGTAAGACCCACCTCATTTTACCCCTTAGAAGCTCCAAAAGTCTCTGGGGTAGAGGAAACCCTAAACTAAGCAGGACCAGATGTACATCTAAGAAGTGGTCAGATCTATAGATAGTTTCCCCAACCCTGCACACCTGGGCTATTTGCCCATCCCACATACAACTCAACAAATCTATTTTCTAGAAAGAGTAAAAGGAGGGCCACTGAACTGGCAGGTGTGGGGTTGGAGGAGAAACGGCAGTTGAAGGCAAGTGAATGGAATTAGATGAATACATGCTCATAGGACGCTGAGGTCACCAGACATCTTCCCTTATTTGGTTCCAGAAGTCTGGCAGCCAGGCTTTCACTCTCTAGGAAAAAGACTGAAAGAAAGGGACCAGCCTAAGGAATCAGTCTACGGTGAAGCTGATGGTTGACAAGGCCTCCAAATGCATTCACAGCTTCCAATTCGTATTTCAGTCCCCTGCTCCTAAATGCTTGCATGCAAAATTCCAGGCATATTTAGAAAGCCTCTAATGCAAAATCAAGATCCAAAAGGACAAGCATATGAGAAAACAAAAAACAGAAACAAAGAATAAGACTGTTATTAACTCCATCCAAGAAAAAAAATAACATATACAGAAATAATAATGTAGTCACAGTTTTGCTACAAGGCTCAGCTCTTAAAAATACACAAATATAATGATATAAATGAAGGCCGGATGCATTGGCTTGCCTGTGTGATCCTAGCACTTTGGAAGGCCTAGGTGGGAGGATGACATAAGATCAGTAGTTCAAGACCAGCCTGGGCAACACAGGGAGATCCCATCTTTACAAAAAAAATTTTTTTAATTAGCCAGGTGCATTGGCGGTGCATGCCTGTGATCCCACCTACTCAGGAGGCTGAGGTAGAAGGATCACTTGGGCCCAGGAGGTCAGGCTGCAGTGAGCTGTGATCATACCACTGAACCCCAACCTGGACGACAGAGCAAGACCCTATGTCAAAGTAATAATATAAATGAAAAACACTGGTCTAATCAACATTATGATATTAATTACATTGAGAAGACAGGACTTAAGGAAGGGGGCCTGTGTTTGACAGAGTTGGGGGAGGGAAGAGGACAGCTAAATCCTTACCTGCCATAGTGGGAAGACCAACTCTGAACAATAAAGTGTCTTACTGAAGGACAGGCAGGTAAATATCAAGTAATCGGGCAAAAGAGGTGAAAGTGGTTACTTCTAAAAAGCAGGAAAAATGGAGGAAGAGAGATTGCAAAGAACTGCTGCTTGGGAAGAGGGGTATAATAAACCCATTAGAATTATCTGACTCTTTAAATATTACATCTTTAATACAAAATAATTGAACTAATCGATTAGTTAAAAGGGAATCTTAAGAGAAAAAGAATAACATCTGATACTGAGGTACTATTAAAATGATGAAATATAACTCAGAAGAAAGAGGCAATTTAGAGATAAGGAGCAGGCACTAGTCTATTAAGAAATCCTTTTAAGAATGAAACACTGCGTACAACAGGCTTTCTCCCTACATTCCACTTTGAATTTTTGACCTGATTTTCTCGCTGCTGGTCTGGTTCTTGTACCATCCACCTAGTCCATGGGCAAGATGATACTTGTGGAAACAG